TTCTAAATATAAGCCGGCCTGCGAGCCGGCATTCTCTCTCTTGTTCTACATCTCTAAATAAAGTATGAGCTGAAATCACTTCGCTACGCATCAGACTTAGTACTTTTCAGTATCTCAGGTTCTATCTGGAACCCATTCTTGTACTCAAAGTAATTTACAAAGAGGCTACGAAATACCACCTAGGAAGCCTACAGGAACCTCTCGGATTCTATAACCTTGTAAAATATCACTGTCCATATGCCCTTTTCAAAGGAGAATGATTGATTGGACAGGGAAATGTTGCATTAGGGAGCATTTGGCTTATCTCCTTGATTGCTCTTCTGGAGATGTTGAACTGAATTTTTTTGAGGTCCTTCCTGGCCCTGTTAGAGAAAACCGGCTTACACCTATGTTCTATTTCCGCCCCCCCCCCCCGTGTTCCTACACTGATTATAAACAAACAGTGGTGGTTCATTTCACATGGAATTATCCCTGAAAGATGTTTCCGTTCTCTTGCACCAACACCACTTTCCCTCATGCTTTAAGAAACCTGTGGCAGATGTAAAGTACTGGATTCGCACATGGAGACTCAGACTACGACATGCTCTCAGACGTGTTTATTGTACTTCACACACTAAGATAAAAAAACCCGGCCCCACAAGGGCCAACTATATACACACCACCCGGCACACCCACAGTCCCATTGGGGGGGTTGAATTTCCCGGCAGAGGTCTTATTGGTGGACTCAAGGTGGACTAGGATCCTAGGTCCCTATTGTGTTTTGGGACCAAGATTCTGACTGTGGTCGCGGACCCCTAGTGGCGGTCCGCGTACACAACAGCAGATCTCTTATAACCAACAAAGGGGACTAAAGTCCCTCCTAGGCATAATACATGACCCTTAATTGATCTTTCCCCAATAAAAAAAATTATTCATGTCGAAGCTTGATCCCAATAGCTAGGAATTAAGGCATGAATAATAAGGAACTGCCTGTGACCCTAAAAAACTGTAAAGTACTGGATTCGCACATGGAGACTCAGACTACGACATGCTCTCAGACGTGTTTATTGTACTTCACACACTAAGATAAAAAAACCCGGCCCCACAAGGGCCAACTATATACACACCACCCGGCACACCCACAGTCCCATTGGGGGGGTTGAATTTCCCGGCAGAGGTCTTATTGGTGGACTCAAGGTGGACTAGGATCCTAGGTCCCTATTGTGTTTTGGGACCAAGATTCTGACTGTGGTCGCGGACCCCTAGTGGCGGTCCGCGTACACAACAGCAGATCTCTTATAACCAACAAAGGGGACTAAAGTCCCTCCTAGGCATAATACATGACCCTTAATTGATCTTTCCCCAATAAAAAAAATTATTCATGTCGAAGCTTGATCCCAATAGCTAGGAATTAAGGCATGAATAATAAGGAACTGCCTGTGACCCTAAAAAACTCTTCCACATTTTCAAACTTATTAAAGGACAAGCTCTTGGATAGGGGCAGACTCCAGCCTAATGTCGTCTTTTTGTGTCTTCCCAAAAGTGGAACAGATTAACTTCACTGACAGGCTGGAGAATCTTAATGAAAATTTGATACTGAGTACTAAGACCCAGGCCAGTGATGATATGGGCATCTCAGTTCACCTCATTCCTGAAGAGAAGAATACTAACAACAATTTGTTAAAATTAGAAACCCAGACCCAATCTAACCCTATGAGGGAGACAAATGCCTGCCCAGCTAAAAATCTAACCCTATGAGGGAGACAAATGCCTGCCCAGCTAAAAGATTTATCCACATGTGCCTTGTCTGGAAAGACAGTGGGAACAAACCCTGTTTCCCTGGAACCCACCTTCATAATTCACTCCATTAACCCCCCGTGTTGACCAAATTACCCAGCCTTTGGCTTGACTATCTCCTTCCACAAGAATGTTAAGCTGGAATGTGGCTGGCTGGTCTTCCAAGGTTTCCTGTGAGGACCCCAGGACATTCACTTGGAGTCTCAGAGCGGCTTACAAACTCCTTTCCCTCCCCCTCCCCACAACAGACATCCTGTGAGGTAGGTGGGGTTGAGAGAGTTCTTTTAAGAACTGCTCTTTCAAGAACAGCACTGACAGAACTATGGCTTGCCCAAGGTCATCCAGCAGCTGCAAGTGGAAGAATGGGGAATCAAACCTGGTTCTCCCAGATTAGAATCTATGCACTTAACCACTACACCGAATTCAAAGATGTCATAATTTCTTACACTCCTAGGGAACTGCTGATCGCCCCTTTGGGGGTCAGGAAGCAATTTTTCTCCATGCGAGTTTGGCTGGAGATCCTGGAGGTTTTTTGTCATCTTCTGGGTGTGGAACAGTGGTCCCTGTGGTTGTGGAGGGGGAGGTATTTGTGAATTTTCTGCATTGTACAGGGGGTTGGACTAGATGACCCTGGAGGTGCCTTCCAACTCTTTGATTCTCTGATTCTATGTAATGCCTACAGCTTGAGATTGGCCACTTTTGCTATCCAAAGGAATTTAGTTATTTCGAATGGCCACCAGAGAATCAATCCAGGCGGGGATCATACCCTCTTGGGCTTCAAGGGAGCTAGTGTCATAGATTATTTCATTGTTTCCTCTGATCTCAGTTCAATAGTCAGCTTCGTGGGAATTTCATCCTTTTGGGGCAGTGATTGTCTCCCTATTGTTTTGCATATGAATATGCCTTATGCCACACTCTCTGTAATCAGGCAAGACTGTACATCCCAGAATCAAAACTCCCTATGTCACATCCACTGGAATGACAACACTGCTCACTTGGCCCAAGATATGATAGCCTCCCCAGAAGTGTTAAGTTTAAGGGGATCATTACTTGGGTCTGATGTATCTAGGAACTCTCTCACTGTCTTGTATATGCTATTGTCCCTCTTCAAGCCCTTGTGCTCTAAAATTATGCCTGATAGTGCTCCTTTTGTGAGGCCCCTAATCTCCAAGTATTCCTGTACATGATTTGATAAAGAGTGCAGACTTATCAAAAGAGAACTACAGTTAAAAATAGGGAACTGCAGTGAAAAATACCATACTTGTTCTGAGGAATTCTTGTCTCTTAAGGAATGTTACAGATATCTAGTAAAGCATAAGAAGGAGAAACTGGGTGTACAGGTATTTGCCCACCCAAGCCAGTCCAGGAATGGGAGGGAATCCTGTACTTTTCAGTACATTAAACAACAAAACACGAGATGGTCTATACCCTCTCTGGTTTTCACAACAATTTGCCACCAGAACCTCTTTTCACTAGTCCCTGCCTTTCCTAAGGGAGAGATTCCAAACCCTTAGTTGGTATCTGGGACAGAACACCTTAGCAACTCACTCCAGAGATGCACACCTTTCCCCTCCAATGGTAGTGTATATGGGGAGCGTTTAGGCCACAGGATTTAGCCTTGGAATTCAGTTACAACATCAAAGACAATTTAGCAGTAAGAGAGATCTTTATTTAGTACAGAGTTTAGCATAGACTACCAGAGATTACAAAAATAACAAAGGCTAGGGCTGTTTGCCTTAACTAAACATTAATGATTCATAGTTACCACGTCAGGAGTATTCCTCAGTCCAAGATAGTCCCAGTACCAAGGGATTTTGAAGGGAAATCCCATTTTTGCACACCATGTGCTCCAAGTCACAAAGCAACTCTTTGTCTCTCAAGAGGCAGCATTTTCAGGTGCAATAAAACAAACTGACAGAGGAGGAAGGGAGAGCTAAGCAAGAGAGCTCACTCCGGCCAATTGTTGGTTGCCATAGCTGCATGTGGGGATAGGCTAGAAGTTTGGAGGCCCCTCCTGCAGTCACATGACCCAGCTTCCAGCTTCTCCATGGTGTACGTGACATGCTGCATGTGGGCCAGAAAGTGGAGCCATGAGGTCTGGCGTTTGGCATGAAAGTGTGAAAGAATGTGGGTTTATGGCATGGCTATTGAGGCCATGTGGCCCCCACCATTTGGCTTGCAACAGGAAACAAGCCACAGCATGTTATCAAAAGACATCACTGGAGAAGGCATGTAGATATAGAAAGCAGAAAGCAATTTTTCTATACACTTAATTTATATTTAATTTAATTTTATGTTTAATTTTAGCTGCAAAATCTAATGACAACTTGGCATTTTGGCAGTTATTCATATGGGCACTAGAATGTATGGCAGTATTCCCTTCTGTTTTCACCCAGAGTTCTGAGAGTCATATTTTTAAAACCTGTTTGCTCCTTCAAGTGTTTTTACTTCTGAGATACTTGAACCCGATGTCTCTCTTCCTGACTGGCCCAGAGTGACCTCAAGTTGGTGGCTTGATCCGCCTCTGGTCAGAAAAGGTCCCCGGAGCAGATCCTGTCCTAAACAAATTATTCAAATCAAATCCATCTTGGTGGGCAGAGTTCCTAGCTCCACTACACCATGCTGGCAGGTATAACTCATTGGAAAATAAAGCTAGGAGATTCAAAATTGGCCACCAGTTTCAGGATGATTGTGGAAGTTCCATTGCTGAAATTGAAAGGCACGGGAAAATCCTAAACAAGGTGAGACAAACCAGCACCACCTATAGGCGTAATCTTCGTGGGGGCGGCAGGTCTTCAGCCCCCGCCGAAATTTTCAGGAAGCTGCTCAGCCTCCCCCGGGAGCCACCCTTGCTCCTAGCAAAGCAATGCCTTTGGCCCAGCCCCAGCCCCCCCCCCGGGAAATTGGAAAGTCTACACCCACATGTTTGAACACTGGTCACTAACCCTATAATAGGAAGGGAGCGGTGGCGCAGGGAGTAACAACACCTGCCTTAACATCTAGCGAACAGCCTATAAGGCTGTTCGAGACCCACCGCGGCCGGGGTGAGCACCCAGCCCTAGTCCCAGCTCCCGCCTACCCAGCGGTTCGAAAGCAATAACAGCAAGCGAGTAGATGAATGGGTACCTGCCTTAGATGGCAGGGAGCACCCTCCTCCATTGTGAGGTGTAGTGGGAACACTAACAGCAGTGGTGCAGCGAGCAGCGGCGGTGGAGCGACGAGTGATGGTGGCAACGAGTGAAGTGGCGAGTGAAAGCAGCAAGAAGGCGCAACATCATCAGCAGTGGACCGGGCGACGGCAGAGGCGGAGCCAGAAGGTGCGAGGATGCAGAGGCGTAGGCGCGGCGGAGCCTAATGGACAGAGCCGGAGCCACGCCGATGCGATCTGTGCGACAGATGGGCCCGCCGGGAAAAAGCTGACTCCGAAGACCACTTGAAGAAGGAGATGAGAGAAGCCGAGCCGAAGCCAAAGCCGAGCTGAAGGAACAAGTGAATCCCACCACCGGGTGCCGAGTCCCCACCCCTGACCATATGTATGCCCATAGATAGGGATAATGAAATATGTAAGCCGCTCAGAGACCCCTTGGGGGGTTCAAGCGGGGTATAATTGTGGAAGCAAACCGAGATGTTCTTGGTTTCTGTTACTAGAGAAGAGGAGACCTCAGGAACAATATTTGTTGTTGTTCAGTCCCACAGTCGAGTCCGACTCTTCGCGACCCCATGGACCACATCTCGCCAGGCCCTCCTGTCTTCCACCTCCTCTGGAGTTTGTTTGCTCAGTTTCAGGTTCGTTGCATCGATAACACTGTCTAACCATCTCATCCTTTGCTGTCCCCTTCTTCTTTGATCTTCAGTAACAGGGTCTTCTCCAGTGAGTGCTCCCTTCTCATTAGTATTTGAGTTTCTCAAGTATTTGAGCTTCAGCTTCAGTATCTGGCCTTCCAGGGAATAGTTAGGGTTGATTTCTTTTAGGATCGACTGTTTTGATCTCTTTGCAGTCCAAGGGACTCTCCAGAGTCTTCTCCAGCACCATAATGAATCATATAGGCATAATTTAGCAAAAACCAAGTACTTTAAGTTCTCCTTTTAGTTCCTCTGGAAGTGTCAAGGTTTTGCTAGAACTGAAGCTTAGTTTAAACTGCACTTTGTTTTTGATGGATATGTTTACAGTCTGGCTTGAATATTCCCCACCTTCCTTTGCACAGCACACTGATTGGAATTCTGCTAACTCCAATTTGTCAATATAGGCACCATAGCAAATTATGTTTCTTTTCCAGTCTGGGAAGATGCAAACATCATTCTAAGGTATCTACATTAGGACAGCATGCTAAATTAAAGTTTAGTGAAAAGGTCCAGGTTTAGTCTTGGCTTGTTGTGTCAGGGTGTGTGTGCATGTGAGCTGCTGTCAGGAAAAAACTGATTTGTTTGTTGACTTCCCAGTTGAGCTTCATTTTCTGAAGTATGGCTAAATCATGCCTCATGAACTGGCATGGCTTAAAGGGAAAAGAATGATAAAAGGCGGTTATATAGTAATGCATTTTCTTCTGCAAGGTGCTGAGAAATTTTATGTTATTTAACAGATTCACAGATTAATTAAGAAAGAGAGGTACTAAATAAAAGACATGTAATATTTAGGCATTAATGAGTCTAATCATATAGAGCTGTATTTTGTATGGCAGGTAGAAGTTCTAGCTCTTTTAGCATTATTTTATTTATTTTGGTATTTTATTTATTTGTATATCCTGCCCTCCCTGCCAAGGCAGGCTGAGGGCCTTGGCTCAGGACGGCTTACATAAAACGTTTTAGATCACTAAAACACAAGGTTAGATAAAACCACAACCATGCAATTATAAAACAACAGCGTAAAGTGCTAGTGCTATTTGTGGCCTATGGGGGGCAGTAGCAGAGTCTAACATTGACATGTTAATGATGATGTTAGTTTGGGGCCTGGTGGAAGAGCTCCATCTTGCAGGCCCTGCGGAACTGTAAAAGGTCCTGCAGGGCCCTGATGTCATCTGGGAGCTTGTTCCACCAGTGTACGGCTGCCACTAAAAAGACCCTGGCCCTCATCACAGCCAGCCTGGCTTCTCTAGGACCCGGGAGGGCCAGACAATTTTGGGACCCTGATCGTAGTGCTCTCTGGGGAACGTGGAGAAAGGCAGTCCCTTAGGTATGTAGGCTCCTGACCATATAGGACTTTAAAGGTAAGAACCAGCACCTTGAACCCAATTCGGTATGCTATAGGCAGCCAGTGCAGTGCTTTTAGCGCAGGTTGGATGTGCTCCCGCATAGGGAGACCCAACAACAGCCTGGCCGCTGCATTCTGCACCAGCTGCAGCTTCCAGATTTGGGACAAGGGCAGCCCCATGTAGAAAGCATTACAGTAATCCAATCTCGAGGTGAGAATTGCATGGATCACTGTTGCCTAATTGTTGCGTTCGAGGAAGGGAACCAACTGCCTGATCAGCCGGAGATGATAAAAGGCTGACTTTGCAGTGGCTGCTACCTAGGCTTCCATCGTTAAGGAGGCATCCAGGAGCACTCCCAAACTCCTGAACTCCAGCACTGGCACCAATGGTTCCCCATCAAAGGTCAGGAGTGGAATCCCTAACCCTCAGGCCACTCTGACTTAGGCACAGGACCTCCATCTTCATTGGATTCAATTTCAGTTGACTCAGTCTAAGCCAACCAGCCATGGCTTTCAGCATCAGGTCCAAATCTTCCAGACTAGAGTTGGACTGGCTGTCCAACAACAGATAGAGCTGGGTATTGTCCGCGTATTGGTGACAACCCAGCCCATAGCTCCGGGCAATTTGGGCAAGGGGGCGCATATAGATGTTCAGTAACATCGGGGAAAGCACCGCTCCTTGGGGCACTCTGCAAACTAGTGGGTGCCTTCGGGCACAGATTTGGCCATGTTGAGAATTAGATATACTGATGTTAACATCTGATGCTTTCAAAGAAGAAAGTGGGGAAAGGATCTCAGTACAGCCAAATATCATAAGAGTGCATTCCATCCCCTTTTGTACTGAGAAATTCCAATACAGATAATTGTATACAAAAGTGTTTTCACTGTACTTTCACAAGTACTTTCACTAAAGGGTTTCGATAACTCACGACTTCTCCTTGTGGGTTTTTTGTCTCTTCAGGCAACTGAAGCGTGAATTTCCCAGTGCCGTGATTTTCAGCACTGATGACTATTTCACAGAGGATGGCACGTACATATTTGATCCTGATTGCCTGGAAGATGCCCACAGGTGGAACCAGAAAAGAGGTAAGTAGATCCCTTCTTAGCAGTTGTGATTTGAACTTTGTCTTATACTGTTATACTTTTGTGGATTAATTCAGCGGTTACATTTTATACATGACACCTGCTCTTCTGTACCTTGGACACAGGCTCGGTACACAAAGGTAAAGCCAGAAGTAGCCCATAGTATACAAATGTCTATTTATTCTGCTTTTGTACTATTCATAAATATAAACATAGAACTGCAGAGTTGATTAAAACACTACTAATATTGGTTGCCATCCCCTTTTAACATCTGTTGCTGTTGCAAATGGCTGATATTGCAAGGTGTTTGATGTTCTGTGAGGCGTTTTTAAATACTAGATCTTGCTGTTTTCATTGACCTCTGTGCTGCTGTTTGTTTTGTTTTATGCTAGAAATTGCCTCCAGTGATTTATTTAGAGTGTGTGGAATAGGAATTTTAAAATAAATATTAAGAATTTAGTTACTACAGTCTTATAAGATGGGGAGGGAATTGTGAAAGCTAATAGTTGAAGGGTTTAAACGAAGTATCAGCTTTTGGAGCATGCATGCAAAAGAGCCCCTATCAACCATAAAATAATTATTTGTATAGTCTGTGCCCTCAATTTACATTGCTGTTGAATCCTAAAAGGCAGATGTATCCCCATTGCCCCCAAATAAACTGCAGCTTTTGTTTACATACTCTGTTTGTTTCCCAATAAGCTTCCTTCTCTTTATCTTTTTTTCTGGTAGAAATTACATTACCTGGCATAGCCACAGAAAGCCTGTGCTAACCTTATTGAAGCTCATCAAATAACTCCCAAATGCCTACTGAAAAGGATCGTGGGAAGTAGTGGGCACGAATGAGAAGGGGCAAAAAAATCCCTCAAATCCCACTTCTGCTACAGTCCATGGTAATTTGGGATTAATTCACAAACCGCTTAAAGTAGAGATGGCCAACTGAGTACCCAGTTTGTTTCTGACAAACCTGCCAAATTGTAATCAATATGTTATTAGAAACTTTCCACACATCTGCTCACATCAGGAAAATATTGTTTCCAGAAGTTGCATCTGTCTCTTGCATTTTCCTGTAGCCCAGGCACAAATTGACAAGCTGCTAGTAGCAGCAGCTTTAATCTGGAGCCCTAATGACGGGAAGGGTGGGCAGTTGGTATGGAAAAATAGACTCCAACACTTTGGACCATTGCTTCGAGATGGACATGGTGTGAAATTTGCATATGCTTTCCACAGTTTGGGGGTGATAAAACTTTTACCCAGATCAATCAGTGTCTGCTATCCTTTCCTTATTTGGAATGGACTGGCTCATATCAGTTTTTATGCTGGTGCAAGACAGAAGAGGATCTTTAATGTCCCCCCGAAGGGTTACTCTTGGAATCGTGGGACCCTGATAACTTCATCTTGTGCAAGTGGAAAATCTTGAAGGATGCAGCCCATATGCAGTATTAACATGGATGAAAACTATGAAAACCGAAAATAAGACACAGCCAGCACATAACAGGAATAAACCAGACTCTTTCTAAAGACTGTCTCACCACCTTTGCAACACAACGAGATTACCAGGGGCTTATTTAGAACAGCTATATAGATACAGGCTGACTGGTTCCACCAATTGTTTGGTCTTTTAAAACATTTACATTATTATGTTACAGCACGTAAAGCAATGAAGAATGGAAAATCCCCCGTTATTATTGATAATACCAACATCCACGCTTGGGAAATGAAGCCATATGTGATAATGGTAGGGAAAATTGTGCCCTCTTGTCATTCTTAATGTTTAGCCATAAGAGATGAACAAATACCATTCATAGCTATTGAGGGAAGCAGAAGAGCTGCAGGAACCTGCTACAGATTTAAACATATCTCAAACCTTAGAACTTCTGTAGGAGAAAAAATATTTTGTCCAGGAGCAGAAAGGCTCCAGCTGAGTTGGGTTTCCTACCCAGTTAAAACCTCAGCTCCTTCTTTGTTTATTATGGTAAACTTTGTTGGCAGCACATTTTAGTGATAAAACATTTCTGATTTTCAGAAGCTACAAATAATTCTAAAGGCATGTATCTGTACATTAATCCATTGATATGTACATGCAAAAAAGTACTGGTAATGTTCTGAGTAGGGGTGGGCACGGACTGGACCACGGACCAATTTTTTTCATGAACCAGAGCCCAGTTCATGGTCCATGAGCCCTCTCCATGCACCTGCCGACACAGACCTCCTACAACCATGCCAGGAGGTCCATAGGTCCGTGTGGCTTGCAAAAGCCATTTAAAGGGAATGTGTTCCCTTTAAATGGCTTTTGCAAAAACACATGGTCTGCAAGTGAAGGCCGAGCAGCAAGTTCACCCACTTCTGGGTGGGTGAACTTGCTGCTCAGCCTTCTCACATACAGGGCGACTTTGCAAAATGTGTGGCATGCGATCGAAGGCCGATCAGCAAGTTCGCACTCAGCCTGCACTCGAACACCACACATTTTGCAAAGCTGCCCCACATGTGAGTGAAGGCTGAACAGTGACTTCACCCACCCGGAAGTAGTTGAACTCGCCACTTGACCTTCACTTGTGCACTGGGCTGCTTTGCAAAAGTCCAAACAGACCATGGCTCGGTCCCTTAATGTGGAGTTTCATGGTCCTGGGGTCCTTAAATGCCATGGACCCACAGACTGTCATTTTTCTGGACCGTGCCCATCCCTAATTCTGAGATTCCACGTTGCTTTTTATACCATAATCTATACCAATGAATAGCACACAACCCGAATTTCTGTTTCTGAGAGCCAGTTTAGTGTAATGGTTAGAGTGCTGGACTATAATCTGGAAGAGCCAGGTTCAAAACACCACTGCCATGGAAACTTGGTAGGTAACCTAGAGCCAGTCACACTCAGCAGAACCTGCCCTCACAGGGTTGGCATGAGGATAAAAGGGAGGAGAGTAGAACAGTGTACCTTGGCCTGGCTTCCCACTGGGGAGAAAGACCTAGTGTAAATGAAGTAAATGATCTGTAAATTGCCTTACATTGATTCTGACCATTGGTCCATCTAGCCTGACGTGGTTTACTCTGAGTAGCCACAGTCATCCAAGCTATAGCTCTTTCTCAGTCTTGCCACCCAAGTCCCATTTTTAGCTGAAGGGATCAAATGGAGGACTTTATGCAAACAAAAGCAGGCGGTCTGCTTCTGAGATATGAGCCCTGCTTCAGTGTATGAAGAAATCATTCCGTTTTGAAAGACTGCTTGCCTCCATACAGCTAATTTTTATTTTTTGAAATGAGCATACTATTGTAATCAGTTGCAAAGGGATACAGAAGTCTTTCTCGCAGGCACTACCAGGGCTGTGAGCCCAGTGTTCACACCACAGTTGGAGGACACTATCTGAATACAGGGCTTTCTTCAGCTAAAATATGGAGGTGAATTGTGACTGGCATAGGAACCTGATTGAACAGTGCCCATGCCATTATTTGTGGTGAGATATCTTTTTTACGTTCTCATGCATATATAATTTTTGATATTTCAGAAGCAGGAAAAGTCACTAATAAATTTGATCTGATTCTAGAATTTCTAGATCAGTCTGCTAACTCCCCTGCATCTCTCCTATGCTCGATGGCAGTTGTGACTGCTTTAATATTTTAACAGGGCATTTTTTGAGAGCAGAGTTTATAGTGTGTTGCATGTCTAACAGGCTTTGCCGCTTTTTGTGGAGAATAAACATTTTTTTTTTGTCAGAAGTTGGCTACTTGTTTAGAATAATTTTCTAATTTACCATATTGATTAGAAATCTTGTAAAGCTAAAGATGTAGAAATAACAAGAGCCAGTAGTTTTGGAAACTGTCAAATGGCACACCAAATGTATTGTTCTAATGGTGTAGCCTGTATTATTCTGGATTGTGGTTTTGTTTCAGCTTTAGCGTGGTTTAAAGTAAGATTATTTAGACACCTACAAATAGTAAGTAATAGAAAGTCATTAAGGGCCCTTTGCCACTGTTTAGTTCTATAATTGTGAATAGCTGGGCCACAACAGCATAGGTGAGCAATCTCCTGATTCCCCACCACAACGGTGGTGGAAAAAATAATATGGAAAGTGCTATACAATACAATGAATAACTTTTTAAATAATGCAGACTACAAATTGCATTTTTTCACATCAGGCACTTGAAAACAACTATGAAGTTATATTTCGAGAGCCAGATACACGCTGGAAATTCAATGTTCGTGAACTAACAAGGTATGTTTTCTGCCATAAATGATCAAATTATTTGAATGAGATGTAAAAATACATGTTGCTACATGGACATATTTAAAATATATTTTACTTTTCATTTGTTTTTTACTTATTTGTAAATCTTCATGAAATCCTTAACATCTCACGCTATTTGAACACAAATTAAATGTACATTAATAGTTAATATAATGACATGAAAAATTGTCAGAAATCCAGGGACAGGCTGAACACTGTATCACTGAATTACTTATTCAGCACACTACTGAAAGAAGAAAAATGTAAGTCTTATAGTCCATAAAATTCCTACAGGAAATTTCATTCTGTGCTGCCTTAAGTTATGGAAGCAAAGCAGTCTATACTTAAATCATATTGGTCTGGATCCTACAATTCACATGCTCTGCAAGGCGGCTTACATAAAAGATAAAAACACATAAATAACAATTGTAAGAATCATAAAACCGTCTAAAACAACTCATTATCACAGAGTGCCTCACATCCAACTCACTTCCAGCCTCACATCCAATTCATTGTTTGTCCAGTTAACTTAGGGAGAGGTAAGACCCAGATTGCATGAATTGACTAGGGAACTGAATAGATGTTTACTCTTCTTTTTTCAACTCATTGTACAGACACAATAGCCATGGTGTTCCAAGAGAAACAATAAAGCGGATGAAAGAGCAGTATGAACATGATGTTACATTTCAAATTGTGCTTCATTGTGAAGAACCAGGTAGACATGTCAACCGGTCCCATGGCACTCGCAACACCGGAGACTTTTCCAATCCAAGTTCAGCATTCTCCAACAGAAGAGCTCACACCCACTCCACAAATGAAATATCATATAGTAGGAGACGTGATTTCCACAGCGTCTTTTAGCATTTTTACCAAGGTGTATATGATTTCATTTTATGTTTTTAGCAATTTTTACTCTTTTTACTGATACAATGTACAAATATAAATCAGGGCAATAAATATCTTTACCAGGAATCAATGTTACTTCAGATGTCTTAAAATTGCTAGTTTTTAAAAATCAATGTGACAGAATGAGTGAATCTGCTTACATTTCTGTATCCAATTTCTTACATTCTATAAGATTTGTGTGTTTTGTGTATTTTTAGCATTGTGTTTTACAAATTTTACACAAGCTGTGACCTTTTCATTGTTTTTCCTTACATGACTGTGTTTACTATTTTAAAATAATTAAGGGACCCGATAATATTAAGTCTTCTGAACAGTACACAGACTTCAGAAAAATATGCAAGCATAAGGAAAAATTCCAGAAATCACTCTGGGGTAGTAATTGGCTTTGTAACTGTTTAGTTAGCTCTGATAAAGGACCAAAAATCCTTTCAAAGTCTTGACAATTTTTAAGGTCTAAATTTTAACACTGGTATTAAACTGAATAGAATTATCAAAATTTAGGAATTACTTTGGGTAATACTTATTCCGTTGAATCCATAACCCACTGAAAGATTACTAGGGAAGACCACAAAAGTGGGACAGGGCATTAATCAGATGTTTTAGATATAATTAAATGAAACCAATAATGTTAAAATTAGCAGAGTTGCTAAATTGGTGTCAGACCGCAGGCTGTCAATATATCTAATCCGCAACATGGCCAGAACTGTGGATACTTAAAGCCAGAGACTGAAGTAATGAACAGATATCTTTCTCCAAAGTTGAAAAAGCCCCAGATTTGCAGGAAAATCTGAAAAAAGTACATAATAGAAGCATTACCTGCATCTTTAAGCTCAGCAGCTGGGGTGGCCATTGCTAGACAATGGCAACAGTATTGCCAGCCTTCAAGCCTTAGTTTCTGTCAGTCCAAGGCAGGGAGAGGAGACAAGGCCCTTTCCAGGGCTTTGAGGGAGGACTCACTGGGGCTAGGCCTGACAGCAAGCCACCAAGTGACTTGTTACCACCCAACATGCATCACCTGGACCCATCTTCTTGCTACTGTTGAACAGCAGCCAGTCACAAAAGCCAGTGTGATGTAGTGGTTATTTTCAGACTAGGCTCTGGGGAATACAGGTTCAAATCCCCAATCTGCCATGAAAGCTCACTTGGTGACCGTGGGCCAGTTACACATTCTCAGCCTAACCTACCTCTCAGGGTGGTTGCGAGTATAAAATGGGGGAGAGGAGAATGACGTAAGCTACCTTGGGTCTCCATTGTAGAGAAAGGTAGGGTATAAATGAAGTAAATAATAAATATAGCTGAAGATAAAATGTTGGTGGGAGTGTGGGAAGGAAAAGGAAGCAGGAAAAGGTGAGAATATGGGGCTTGCCTGAAGGAAGGAAAGAGGAAATAGTGTGAAGCAGGGG